GTTTTGACGATGAAAGTAAGAATGTTTTCGAAACGTCAGCCTAAATACAACTTGGTCTCAGGAATTGCCCCTTCTTCTTTCTCTTCCGGGGATGATGAAAGCAATATTATATAGACTACAGTGCTTCTATAATAGTGCAATATGGCCGATGTGGCTACTCTAAGCTGATTCCAATTAAAACTGCTTTGGACTCCCGCGGATTTGTTCAGCAAACTTTGATAATTTCCGAGCTGTGGATCGGTAGATTACTCGATTAAAGATCTTACTCACCCTTTTGTGTGGAATAATGGTGTGAAAAATTCGCGGTCTTGGTGGGAGTCGAACCCCCTCCCTTAAAAGTAAGTGACTCTAGTAGTCATTCTGGTGGATTCCAGATGATAGCTTAGGAAATCCTGCCTGGGCAGTCAGCTTGCTGTTCCCTAACGGTGGATTCCATACAAGCAGTAAGTTAGGCGGCTAAAATCGATCCAATTGTGATGAACTTCATGGCGCACGGCGAGCCTCGTAGTTCAGTGGCAGAGCGTTGGCTGCGCAAAAGCCCACCCTGCTGTGTGAGTTCGACTCCCAGCGAAGCCGCGAATTTTTCACGATTTCGTCAACTGAATTAAGCACATCACCAAACCCTCCTTCCAAATAATGATTAGTTCTGGATGGCCCAAGCTGCATGTCTGTGACAAGCGTAGACGGCTTGTGTTGCGCTGTTGGTCAATTTGACCATCGAATAGCGGACGTGTGCGTCGGAGAACGAAGAGCGAGAGAGGGGCGTCTACTCTGGGCACTCCATCGTCACAGCACTTCAACGGTTTTTCTCGCTATAATAGAGCTGGCACGCTTTCAAATTATCACGATGGACTAGATCTCCAACCGTGAGTTTAATCCCACTTGGGTCATGTTTTCTGTCCAGCCATTACTGCTACCAATCCTAGTACACTAAACTGAATTCTCAAGCGGGAGACCCTAAGCAATCAATCTAGAATCCATCAGATGGCTACTAGACTCACCTAATTAACATGTGTTTTTGACAAACATTGAATAATTCTGCAAATATTCCCATGTTTAATTTGAGAAGTCAACTTCAGCAAATCTCCATCAGACCAAAACATTTGCAGGGGTAATAAAAAGTGTACAGTTAGACAGGGTTAATAAGTGTAGCCTGATTACACATTTTATCGTTTACCCAGCACCCGCATGGCGAGGTTGGCGTGTAGATATTCGTGGGGTGGGGGGGGAGGGAGGGAAGGGAATTGGGTTAGGTTGTGGGTGTTGATCAGAGGTCAGATACATGGAGTGATAATTGTCGCTATTTGCACGAAACCAACGGCTGTCACTAGGGCGTGGGGGCGAAATGCGATCGCCACCTAGCGTCGGGGTCGGCCATGAAAGTGCAAAGCCTCATATCAGCGTCTTCCGGCAACACAGCACTGGATTCGCTAGCCCAATAATTTATCTGATCCAGTCGGGAAAAAATTGGCGGACCCGTTGCGATTCGAACCCACCCCAGGAAGATCAAAATATATTTACTAAGTGGGATTGCTAGTCATCTGGTGGATTCTAGGTTGATTGCTTGGAAAATCATGCTTGAGCAGTCAGCTTACTGTACCAGAATTGGTGGATTCAATGCGCTGCAGTAAGCTGGACGGACCGCGTGATAGATAGGGCCAAATCAGGGTACGACAGGCGTTAGTCGGGAGAAGGCCTATATTTCACGTTGGTGCATAAAAAATACTGTGCGCCGATTGGCTACCTTTTTTATAATTTTTGTTTGTATGAAGGCTTGCGAAATCCGTTTTTTTT